AATAATAAAAATATATTAATAATAATTATAAATATTCTGTGCCAATGTGTAAAGAGGAAGAAATTCAAATCATGTAAAATATATGTAAACACAATAGCAACCATTTAGTGTATATTATATAAAACTAATAATTAAAATAATTTAATTATGATTAATGTATAGTTGTGTCGAAACGGTATCATCATACATACCATTCTCCTAAACATAATTTATTTTTTTCATTTTTCAAAAACTAATTTACATTATTCTATAAAAACCTGAAGAATCAAATATAAATGGAATTTTGTTATTCCTATTCATAAAGACTAGACCTTAGCAGTAGGAACGCAATTCCCTTTTTATAAAAATTATGTTATGAACTTTATGTTCGGCTTGAAGTGATATACTCGTATCTACTATGAAAATTAAAAATATGAAATTTACAGCCGCTTGAGAAAGAACATTAGATACCCACCCTTCAGTATTCAACTTATGTACGAACTTATAATGTATAGAACCAATTCATCGCACTCACAGTCGTGCAGATCAAATATAATAATTCAAATATTCTAAAAATTAAAATTCTTCAACTTTTGCTATCACAAAAAAAAAATGTTGTAATATGTCTTTAGAAAAAATTCAAATCATTTCAGAAATTTTTTTTCAATTTTTTAACTCATTTGTCGAGGAATCAATAAATCTCTTCCGCTCTTATGCAGTTTCTCTAGCTATTTACCACAAAAAATACCCTTATTGATTTTTTATTTATTTGCTAATAATTAATTGGTTAACTAATCACACTGAAATGAATTTATAAAATATTCAGCTTAAAGTCTTTAGCGTAGTATAGAATAAATAAAGTAAGAATATTTCCTAAAAATGATGTTTAAATAATATACTAATGTGATCAAAAAAAATGGGGGGAAACTTGTTTATGAAAATGAAAAATTTTTATTTATACTTCCAAACGTCAATAGTGCCGCCTATATCGTCGTCATAACATTCAAATAATATTCCTTGTTAACGCTCTCGCCTGGCAAAAGCAACTCATAATTCTCGACAATAAGCCACACCCCAAGAAAATTGTCAACGCATTCGTTGATTTCTGATCTTCGTTCATCTTTTCTACGATATTCGCTCTACGATATTCGAGTGATCGTTTGTTTTTTTTTTTTTTTTTGGGTCGTAAGCTTGTAATAATAAATATCAAGACGTCCTTAGTAGTTGGAAATCAATCATAGACAGTGAGAAGATCAACAAACAGACCTTTGTATGTTACAAAAACGCATTTAACTCTGCAGTAATTGAATATACTGCATAATTCACTTTATGTAGATGTGACTACCAGCATTACGATATTAAGGGGATGTAAGGGGCAAATTATATTCGACCGCGACCGAATTTTTGACAATTACCACCGTGAACCTAGAAAAAGCTAAAAGAAAATAAATAAGTTTACATACTTCATAATATCACGTGGTGTGAGCTAAGCTTTTCCAGGTGCTGCAGAACCACCCGTAGAATAGTAGTGCAAATTTTTATTGTTGTATCTGAAGGGATGTGTAAGTAACGAGCAAAAAATCAAATTTTTTTAATATTTATAAGTAGAGATGGTTTTAGGTTATGTTGTACTGTAATCGTGCCCTTTAGTCGATTTGACTCAATTTCAATAACAACTTGCCTGCAAGAGATTCTAACGTTTTTGAAAAAATTTCAAGACGATTGCTGGATTTTTGCAACCGCGAGAATGCTTAACATAGCGGTTACAGAGACAGACAGATAGATTGATATGCTTACGCTTAGACTTTGATGCTGATAAAGGTTATACATACTTTAGGGGGTGTCTGGGCATTTATTCCAGGCATTGAAAACATTTCGACAACCTAAATATAAACTCCATCTATCGGTGGTGATGGGTGAAAGAAGGCAAATAATTAAAGGAAAAATTGCATTTCACTTTTTGTTCTCCGAAAAGTTGACACAAATATCAGACTGATTACACGTCTTCATCGTCTTTAATAAAATAAAAGAAGAAAATCCTTAAAACATTCTTAAATTCGGTTCTAATCGCCGATGTATAGACGAAACCCTTTAGTTTATTTCTGACGTCCTTAGTAAGGACAAAAAATTTCCCACTTTTCAAAATTTTCTTAAATTTTCGACATATTATTGATACATACGTGGATTGCTATCCCGAATTTTTAAACACTTAAGACAAAGCCAACTATGTTATTTGCTTCAATCTATTTGCTAATGGTTGACTGAGACAGAGACACATTGTTTGGTCCCAATTATATGGAAATGAAAAACTTATCGCAAATCATTTAATTTTGAGTATAAATTCTATTATAAGTATCTTGTAGATATTATTTACAAATAGCTCTAACTTTGCTTATACAGGTGTGCTCTACACGAGTATATGTAATAAACATCCAAATACAAACATAAACCAATTACAGTTTATTATTATTGACCATGCTTCGATGAAGTTCAATAATGTCAAGAAAGTATAATTCTTGCGTTGAAGTCGTAAAACTATTTTGAATCCTAAAACCATTTTTTTCAGAATGAGTATTATCCTTTACACTCTTAACATTCTTTTATTCATCTACCACTGACTGCAAAAAAAGCGTAAAAAAAAAATAAATAATCAAGTATTTAGAAAACGACAGAGTTAGCATCGGAAGTATTTAATAATTTTAAATAATATAATGTCAAGTCTAGCTCGACACAGGAGATGATGGATGGTTTAAGAAATTCCGCAGACCGGCACATAGTCAGTGCACGAGTGGAAACGGCTAAACTATAAAATATAGGATGATGCGAATTTGATTACATCTTCAAAGAGAATCTTAAGAGAATCTTTTTTTTTTTTGGGTATTTAAGGATTCCGGCAATATATTGTCAAAGCGATGTAGATTGTTCAACTGTTTCTTATTTGAAATGACTAGAATTGAAGGGACACAATGAGACAAATTATAGATGGCCACGACTCTTCGTAAATCGCTTCGTTTAATGCATTTATTCATATTCACAACTTTTCAAAGTAAGGCTTCATATGAGAAATAGTCGAAAAACTGAGCCTAACGGGACAATATTCAATAGTGTTGGCGTTTGGATCACTGTACCAAATCGCCTCAAAATTTATTTCAAAAATTGGACCTGTAAGTTTAACGCAAGAATACAAGACTTGTCGACGAACAGATGGACAAACAACCTTAGATCGAATTGGAAAGTGACTTTGGGTTTTGTATATATCCCTAAAAATTTAATACACCCTTGTATCATAAGTGCTACGAGGTATGAGAATAGAATATTTCAAGTCAAAGTCCTATGACCTGTAAAACGAATCTAGTATGCGTAAGCACATAACAACTATTGTAGGTTAATAGTATGTACGGCCATTGGCCGAGCAAGACTATCTTAATAAATATTCGCGCAAAATTTGTAATTGATAGGTGACAAATCATAGGTGGAAGCGTATCAAAAGCCCAGTAAGATAATTATCCAAAACGAGATTGGTAACCGTTAAGATCTACTCTTTCCTCTATGCATGTCAGCTTCTTTAGTTAGCAATATAGATTCGAGCTACAACTGATTATATTGTTCCCTAGTCGGCACTGAACAATACACGAGGCTCTAACGTGCTATTTCAAACAATCTGAATATTGCAAATTTCTTCAAGCATTCTTTTGCTTCGCGATATTTCTGTTCCTATTTATTACAATAAATTAAACTAAAAGCTTACGTCCTTACCTTGCCTAGTCGAGTCGAATTTTGATATAGCAGTACAGCCTGCGCTTTTCTTTTGGAGGATGAACTGAGATGCTCAATTTCTTAGTAAATAAGGGGTGAAAATGGCATTTTTTTTTTAGCGGGTTATGCGTTTCAAAGTTCGAGTACGTTTAGCGTATTGTAAGAAGAAAACATTACCTTATAAAACGGGATATGAATATGTATTTAAACATTTTTACTTATTAGGGCGTTTTAGTTTTTAAGGTCTTCTTAAGGTCACATTCTCCCTATTTCCCTACCTATAGGTACGTAGATCAGGCGCTCATTTTTATTACAGAGCATGAAAATTTGATTTTCTTCTTTTGTTTTTTTTTTTTTAGTCTTTTTGTGGACAACCGTGATGGGTATAAAAGATTCGATGACAACCGAACATAATTTGTTTATTTATTTAGGTTCAAGTTTGCATTAGTCGCGTTGGTAGCTTGCCCCAAAAAACATTTTAATTTTAAGACTTCTGTGAGAATTGTTCCCCCATGCTCCCATTTTTTAAGTATTTTTTCTATAAATAATTTGGCAATATTTACTTACTTAATAGAACACTATCCATTTGAAGTATTCCATTATCTTTTCTTCCATCCAAACACAAATTTCAAAATAGATGTAATTTTTTTTTGGAGTGTTCTTTTCCTCGCTTAGTGACTTCCTCCCTTAATATAAATTGAGGGCATAAAGAGAAATCAAATGAAAATGTAATGGAAACTATATGGATAGCATGAAAAACATATAGACTTTGCATAACTTGCAACGATCAACCAATAGACAATAATGTAACATCTGTCCCGGGGTCGGTTTACTGTTCTCGTTGTCGATCTAACTCGATAGCGAATTTCCATTTTGATGAGTTGATCATCCTCTTTTTCGAGAAACTGATAATATGATCTGCATCTAGTGTACTCCATGGCGTATGAGTGTTTACTCGAACGTAAGATATTACATTTTAGCTCGAAAACAAAATATATTTGATAAAATTAATAGGCATAGAAGAATTAATTCATCTCAAAAACCTTTCCATTTTTTTGCAACAATTTCTTCTTTTCTTTCCTTTCTTTGAAATTTAATGTTTCACTTCTTTATTTACTTTAACTTTTCTTTCTTTTCCACTATT